TGGCTCCTTGATCTATTCTCATTGCTTCAGGCTGCAGCTGAATATTCTTCCTCTAGCAGTGACAGCAAAACTTATCACATGTTCAGATCTGAGAGAGACAGGTATGCGCTTTTTAGCTTCCTCCTGGTGCCTCATAGTTGGCTGTGGGCTCATCAGGTTGTTTGCAGCCAGCTCTGTGACCTCTTGGTGAGGAATTTATGGCAGTGAGATTTCTCTTTTCAAGAGAGGCAGGCTGGCAGCCAGGAGTTGAAGGTGGTTTTTGTTCCAACACTGTACTCAGAGGGTTCTGGGGAATGATGACGTAAGACCTCTTAATTAGAAAGCAATCAGGAAGGGCGTCAAATCTGACAGCAGCTGTGAGCCAACTAAGAGGTAGCAGGCATAGCATGCACCATTCCCAAGAGAAGGTGCATTAGAAGAAACCAAATCTTAGTAGTATCTATCCCACTGTCAGAAGATACTGTCGTGCCCACCAGGTTACCTCAGGTTGCCTCCTTGCCCCTGTTTTCTTAAGCTCAAGGAGTACCAGCCACACACTTAATCATCACAAATTTAGATAACATAGATGCTTGTGAAGCAAAAGGGGGAAATTGTAGAAGAGATTCACATTGTCATCCCAGTGCATTCAGGAAACAGTAACAAGGGAAACAACAACATGGTTAAGCTTTAATCAGCATTTCAGGAACCCCTAAGGAAAATCCCCTTCTTTTGTTCACATGGAAAGCTCCAGAGAGTACTCACCTTTTTGTACATGATGTCAGTAAAAGCGCCTGAAACTTCACTGTTTCTCCTAACCTCAGATTCCTATACTCTTTCTGACTTTGTGACAGGCAATGTTGAGGCTCTTACAGCAACAATTCTGAGCTCTCTTATCTGTCAGTGACCAGTCATGTAATACACCAACCAAGACAGATGAGAAACATGGAGATGGCTATGCCAGAGAGAAGATTACAGCCTGTTAAAACTGTAGTCACTTTGTCCTTGACCTCAACTAAAAGCATGTTGACCGTGGAGCTGGCCCTACTGAGACTAGAGCAAGCAAACACGAGGACTGTCTTCAGAGTTGGTGTCAAGCTTGGGATCAACAGTACTCTCAAAATGCAATGTACAGGCAATCTCTTTGTGCATGTGAGTACCCTGGGCCCGATTTTGGACAGCTATTCTAATTGTCTGGAGCAACTTCCTTTTCTGAGAGTTAAAATGAGGTATCTGGGACAACCAAGTTTGCTGAGGCCATTATGACTAGTAAGACCTCATGACAGCCAAAACGAAGACATCTGCCCTCTCCAAGTTGTAGAGAGCTGTCACACCATGGTAATTTGATAGTATTTCTAAATCTTGATTAGATAAGTTCATTGCATTTTGGTATGACAGCTGAGAAACACATGGTACACCATCAGGCACAAGTAACTTCCCATTAATTTGCACAATTAATGACATTCTTTTCTTCTGAGCTCTCATAACAACCAGCTACCAGAACAAAATGGAGACAAATACATTAATTCAATCACTTGTACTTACTGTTACTGCTAGTGTTACTGCCAATGCTGTCATTCCTAAGGGAGCTGGCAGCAACGGGAGGAAACAAAAATGTTTTTGTGACAGCGACTCTGGAATCTAAATAGAAAATGAGTGTGTCAGCATTATGTAACTTAAAATACAGTTCCCTCTATATAAGATGGTGGGGTACAGGGCTACTCTGATGTGGCTATAGGGCTGTTTTAAAACCCTGGCTACAGGGATGTTTATAAAGTGGATTAAGCCGAAAAAAGTCTTATTAAGAGGCACATGTGTCTACACACTGAGCTGCTACTGAATAGCTATTCTGGAAAAGCAATTGCTTTAATCAAGTTCTTAGGTTATGGCACTGATCTGCTTCTATTTACTACTGGTGTAACTGCAATTGGATAAGTTGCCCTAATTAAAAAGCTAATAGCTGTCACTAGAGAGAGTAAAAGAAAAGAGAATACAAAACCTCAATTTACTGGAAGGATGAGAATGAACTGTAGGAGCCTGACTTGAGCTTGTTAAATTTTTTAAATGAAATAAACATGGACCTTTTCAGGAGGAGTGGGATGAATATGGAGGTGATTTGAGGCTGCAGCAATTTATAACTTGTCCTAGCTTCATATCCTTTCAGTAGTGCAATCTTAGGCTCCTTTACTGCCTTATAAAAATTAAATAGCATTTTACTAGACAATAAGAAGAACAACAATGTAAAAAGATGATTCAGGATATATTTGGGATGAAAAGAAACAGAGCAGGGTATTGCGAGGTTATTTGGATTACATTAAGGAATGATGTCACTAGGAATGATGGCACTAGTTTTACTGCCAGATAGAACTCAACTTAGAACAGAAATACAAGCTTCAGTGTTGGTAGTAATTTTAACTGGCAGCAAAAAGGAGACATGGAGATACAGCATCTCTGAAATCGAAGGAAAATCACCCATTTATATCTACCTAGATTCTGTTCCCCAAAATGAGAGCTATCTTACCATTCTCTGGTGTTTCTACCGTTGAAGGCATAATGCAGTCATTCTTATCCAATGTGTCTGCAAACTCCTTGTAGACCTCAATGGTACTATTAAAGTGCCTAAAAAAATCCTCAGGAATGAAGCGACCTTCTTCATAAAGGTGACCATTTTCTTTTACAAAATCCTAGGGTAAAATATAGAATTCATCTTGAAAGAAGGTCAAGGGAGACGCTCATTTCAGCACCTCAATAGATGATAAAAATAGCCAGATGACAGAAAACAGTTTAGATTTTTAACCTCCAGAAGACCAAATTTGCTGTATAAAATCTTCACAAAAACATACAAGCCCTCTAATCTGAGGATTTTAAATTAGCTTCGTAAATAGAAATAAATTATTAATCCAGTGTTGTGAAATTGCTAAGGAATGAAAGACAGTCTCCCATCCTATGCTAAAAATGAAGAGACTTTTAAAAATGTATTTTCCTCATTAAAAAATTACCTTGATTTCACATTACTTTGCAATGTTCCACATGATCCTTTTAATCTGAACACAGGAACACAACACAATTCATAGCTATTGTCGTAAGAGTACAGGCAATGGAATACAATAGTAGGGATACACTACTGCACAGAAGCAGGCTGTGATCCCTGATAATGTACCTAAAAATAAGAGCAGAACTATAAACAAGGAAGCCAAATCACTCTGATGTCTTAACAGACAAATGTGTTATGCCAGACTAAACAACAAGACTGAGGTCCATGTAAAGATCATTGATGGTTATCTTCTTTTTTTTTCTTTTTACCTGACTTAAACTTTCATAACAACTATTTCTTATGTCAGCAGGTCAAATTTGGCCTGGGGTTACTCTGAATTCCCAAGAATAAGGACAGAGGTTAAGAACATGGGTTAAATAAGTACTAAGGAAAACTTCCTAGTATTGGCTCCAAAATTATTTTAGGTTTAATGTTGAAAGTATTAGATCTAACATCATTCTTCTCTGATGAAATCAATAGCTATTTGTTTCTCTGAATTACAGGATACTTACTTCTTCATTCTATAAGATAAAATTCCTCTTCCCCAACCACAACCCAGCTGAGTGCTTTGACTCATCAGGGCAGGAATAGGGGGCGGGGGGTGGGGTGGGAAACACATTGAAGTGTGGACAGAATTCAGTTTGAAATGGAAAGGTAGGGGATGTCTAAATACTCTCAACAATATAATGCCAGCATATGACAAAGTTACAAGGTAATGCCACTCTAAATGAGATTGAGTACTTTAGTGCATTTGATTAATTCTGGATGTTAAAAAGGTGCAATTACAACATCTAAACACTTATTTGATAAAAATAAACATATGTGGAAGATGACAACTTTTCCCCAAAGAACATGATGGATTTTGGCCCTTTTGGTCATTGGGACAAAATCTTTGACTTCAGAACTTATTTTTAATTACTGATAGACTGGTTAGAGCTTCACACAAGAGAATAAGACTTCTCTTGAGTGAGACTCCTGGAATACTTCCAGCTGTTGTTGGCATCCAGAAACACATGGAAATTGGCTGATGTCCTCTAGTCTTCGCTGTGTATTTGTATAAAAAAGTTATTAAACCATGGTGAAGCTTTCAGAGCCTCACACACTGTGATACATACGGAGCATAGATTAATAGCTTCAACCACATCATCTTTAAATTTATATTAGGATCACTAGCAAAACGAGTAATTTAAGATGGATGTGCAAGGAAGATTTTTGCCTGTTTCAAACAGACCAGAATGAATTAATCATCTTAAGGATGATGGTTACATTTTTGACTACTTAAATAAATGTATACAGGTCATTGTATATAGTGTAATTCCAAGTAATTTTCCTTTGAAACAGGAGATAACAACTAGCCAAAATTAGCACAGTGTAGTCAGTGCATTTCTAAACAAAGAAGGATTTCAGATGTACAGGACTAGATATGACAGCAAATCTAATTAAGCTTTGGACATTTTTAAACTATGTACTGTGCAAAAGAAAGTTCAAATAAAAATATCCAGCATAAAAGTAGAAATATTGTATTAGATTACCTTATTTTTATCAAAAGCTAGACATGCCATAAGATCATTAATTATCCTTGTGAGATTATTGATGATTGAATAGTTGCTTAAAACATCAGACATATCTGAAATATCTGAAAATTTCTGGAGAAGATTATGCAGACTCCTTGAAAATTCAGGCACCATCAAATGCAACCAACAGTGATTAGGCTGTCAGGGGATAAAAAGAAACAGAGAGGTAAATTAAATATCTGACTTTTGCAAAAACTAGTTAAGCAACTCAATGTGCAAAAGTAGATTAGATTGTTCTTTCCAATTTAAATTACCTTGAAAGTCTAAATTAAAATTTGTCTTCTTTAACGTGATCCTTTTGGTAAAATTTCTATTCTCACTGACACTGAGATATTTAGAGTTGTCTGTTCAGTGCCATCCCTTCATTAAATTCTTAATGGATGCTAAGCATCAGTCTGATGAGAATTTGAGCCCTGGAACATACTACTATGAACCCGCTTCCATGTTTTTATTAACCTATTTATTATTTCCTAAATAACTACTGCTTTAACAATTTTCTCCATACTTTCTTTAAACCAGTCTCAGTTTTCATTTTATTATTGTTACCCTACATGACTCAGTTAACCCCAAAGATCCTTGATTTAAATCTCTTCTGAGGAAGGTTTCTATAAACATTTTGCATTAAATCCATGTGTGCTTTTATCCACCTTTAAACTAGTTAGCTCAGTTAACTCCTCTTTAGCTTTTTCACTAAACTAAAAACAGTTTCTAGATCTAAAAGTCTTTCTTTTCCTGAGTTTTTGCTGACAAAGGGCTCTCCACAGCCTGTCATGATATCTGCCATATCTGTGCCACTGGAACGGAGTGCAAATCCTTTCACTGACACCTATGCAATTAGTTTGCCGGTAAAGTTTGTACAGCTGTTCATGTGACTGAAACCTGGTCATTCATCTTGCTGCTTTGTAGGGAGCCATTAACTTCTTTCACTTAGATTTACATAGCTGTAGTCAAGTAAATAAAAAAGCCACTCAGACCAGGAAAAACTCAAACTCAGTATGGTCAGCAAAAATACAGGTAATGCACTAGTCACACGGCAACATGTACCTGGAAATGCCTTCCCAATAAATGTTGAATTTTTAATGGTGAATGTTATGAGAATTTATTTCATATGTGCAGGCATTTTTTAATGGTTCAAAATGTCTTAGGATCATTAAAGCCTTCCAACTATGAAGATCTTGCCACAGCAAACACTAGGTATTCTCAGTATCACTAAACCAGTTTCCAATTGCTGCCCAACAGATGGGCAGCATCCACTGAATCCATCCACTCCATCTTCTGCAATGCACAGTAAACGTTTGGCATGTATCTGCTTCTGGACTTAATCTAATTTTACTCAATTTCTGCAATAAACCTGCATGCAGATTCTTCATTCAAAAAAATTTATCTGCTACTATCAATATCATCACTTGGCAACAAATTACTTTCTCAGTGACACAGGTGTTGTTCTGCCTTGATGTGTAAATGTTTTTGATGAAGAAAAACACACTTCACACTTTCAAAGACTAACCAAACTATTAGGCTTCCAGGCTTAGAGAACTGAATGAAAATATATCCTTCAGCTCCACTCGATTTTTTACTTTTTTTTATCACCTTCTGTAATTATCTCAATAATTACTTAAAAAAAGAATGAAACAAAATGTGAAATAGATGATGTTTGGCTTGATTCTCTGCTTCCCTTTTTTCCTTCAGGTACAAGAACATGAGAGGAGAAGCAGAAGGAAAGCTTGTTGAAATGTACTCTCTTCAAGCAGCATGTGTTGTGCCATGTCCCATTGCCCTCATGAGATAGACAATGCATTTTCCTCTGCTTTGGTGTGGAAACATGGAACGTCTGCTTCCCTGAACTGCAAACCTGGAAACCCTTTCCCTCTGAGGTTTTGTGTGTTATCCTCTGGCAGGGACTAGCAAAAGCTTGCCACTTTTCCTAGTGAGCATTTGGCGATTCCAGCAGGGAATCTATTTTATTGCTCCCATGGTTTAGCATGTGTGTGGGAGTCTCCTCTGACTGAATCGTTCTGACCTACAAAGTTGCATTTCACAAGAGCTTCAGGTTTTCTTTTCAGTAATATCAAGCTGTGCAGTCACTTGCAATCTCAATATCTACCAAACACAGGGATGAAACTGTTAACATTAAGAAATGTGACATTGTTTGCAAGGAGAAATGGAGGTTTAACTCTGCTTTTTTCTGTAAAATTTGATGAAGATTTACTTTTTAAGGCAACTGCAAGCCTGACTTCCCTTGTACTTTCACGTAGACCTCATTTAGCTTTTTCTTTCTACATCTATCTGAAAGTTTTAAGTTTATCTCCTCTTCTGAGTTCAGCCCCTGCTGCTGTCATCTTTGCCTTTTAACCTTCAGCTTAGACTACACAGTTCACTCTATGCAAGACTACTTTCTAAGCCACTCAGATGTCTTGAGCTAGTGCATAATGCAACAACTCTTCTGTTTAATGGATTCGGTCAGTCTGTTCCTGTTACATGCACTACACTAGCTTTCCATCTGCTTTGCATTCACCCTGCCTTCCTACTTTTAGTCATTTACATTTAAGACTTGCTACCTTGAGTACATTTCCCACTTTATGCACGCAATGAAGATATGAAATCTGTTGAAAAAAATTGCAGAGCACTATTTCAATACTTTCAGATTGAACAAAGGGCATTCGCCTTATGCAAAGCCATGGGTTTCCCAGCTTGCAAGGACCTTGCAGAACCCAAAGCAAAACCTACTTATTCAGCCAGCCTTTGCTGTGGTATGCATAACACAACCTGAAATCCCCAGAGAGGAATTTGGCAAAGTGGGATGTGAATACCGCTGAATACTTCCTCCTGAGAAGGCATGTGGCCAAGAGCTGCACCTTCTATCACCACAGCTGAAAGTGGCATCCAAGCAAAGGGAATATGGAAATCTTGGCTCTGAACTTTTCTTCTTCCCATTTATTTCTTGGCCGCTCATCATAAATGTAAACTGGATCTGAGTTTCTGGATATGATGCAGCAAGATGATGTGGTGTTTTAACTATAGAAAATAAAGTGTGTACTAGCAGCCAAAACCGAACCATGAAGCAAGGTGAGAATGACCAGGACTCATTGCTCAAGCAGGCCCCCTGCTCTCCATCCATAGTGCCAGCCTCCCCAGGACTGCAGCAGAAGGAACAGCCCTGATCCAGCCTGGCTTTTGCCCACCAGCTGCCATGCTTAACCTGGAGGCTGGGGCTGAGGAGCAGTACTCGGGCTATGTCTGTACTCCACAGAGGTGAATCTCATCATATCAGGCACCACAATAACTGAATTTCAAAAAGCACTGCAACCAGGGGATGGTGGCAGTCAGTCTTACTTCCTTTTTTCTGGAAATTGGCTATTTACAGAAATTGAATTTTTTTCATTATTTTAATTCTATTATATAGGATCTAGTGCCTGACTTCCATATCATTTGTTCTGCAGAGTTTTTCTGTCCAAGGAAACAAGTTTACACTGTATTTTCTAAGGTACTTTAAGTTAGAAAAAGCCTCGAGCTTCCAACAAAACTCAAGAATACTGCCCGGTCTGTCATAATACCTCACAACCTCACAGCTCAAGGTCCTTCACCATCACACAGACTTCTTTTCCTCCAGACATCTTAGTTTGTGTTATACAGGTCTCAGAGAATGTTGTTTCTGGCATCGTTCTCGAATATCAACAGGGAATATTGCTAGATTTGCTACAATGTTGTAGGATAGGATGAATTTTTACATGTGTATCACACATAAATTGGATTTTCACAATGAAAACTTTGCACAGACACAAACACAAAAACTTACATCTACCAGATGATTTCCAGCTACTAATGTATGTGTAAAATGATTCACTCTATGAGACAGGCACAATATTGTTTAGTTTAATTGACAAACTCGTCCTTTCCTTACTTTTTTTCTTTCCTTAAAAAATATAGTTCAATATTGCATTCAGCAGAATATTTGCTTTCACCGTTTTTCCTTCTCTCCTTTATCTTGCAGTGTATGCAGCAACCAAGAGAGCATTTTCAATGCATTATTCTTAATTTTTTTTTTTAATTAAGGAAAATGATCAAAAATATTTAGTAGAATAAGCAGTAAAATAATATGACAAGGTTTTTATTACAAAACATTATAACATTTTAAAGAAGGTAGATTATGCTTATTTGAAAGTATTACTTCGTATCAACTATGGGATTATATAGAAAGAATAATAAAGGCATGTTTGAATGAAATAATGTCCTCACTTTCTACTGGTCTGTTTAGTTACTGACACTACCATTTCCTGAACTAAGGGTTCTCTTCACTGGCTACTAAGTATTGTGCTTCAATGGCATTTCCACTGGCTTAAATGAGAAAGACTTGCTACAATAAATGTCAAAGCACAGTTAGAAAGAAACTGCTTGTTTAAGAAAGCAACAATTTCCAATTGACATGATTAAATAATACCATAGTTTGACTTTTTCCAGAGAAAATGTTAAAAAAAATTAAAATGAAGAAACATTTTTCTAACCTGTAGTGAAAAAAGTTTTAAGTGACTGCAGGGATCTCTCCACATTTCTTTTAAATTTAAAAGCATATGAAAAGTAAAATAACAATTATTTAACTGTAACTTACTAAGACATAGGACTAGGTATAAAACATTATAGCCATCACTGGTTCCAGTGGGCTATTTTATTGGGATTAACTTGAAGTGGTTGTACATACCAGACTATCCATCTTCGGGACATATTTAAGGGTTATCATATAATCATTTGGGAGATTTCCAACCTAAAATAAACAGATAATAAAAATGTTATTACTCACTACACAAAGTAAGACTTGATTTCCATCACTGTATTCAACAAAATCTATCAAATATTCAACACAAGCTTTCAGTAACCTATCAGGTGCAAAAGCTTACATACTAATTTTCCTGTGGAACTGCTACTGACTCTTATTTGCTCACAAGTGAAGCACCTTTCCACATCTCTGTAATGATCCCAGATCCTATCTGATCATGTTCAACGCTACCACTTCCCAGCAGAATTGAAGTCAGGAATGTGGTGAGGAGAAGTGATCTGAGGTTATTCATTACTGCAGAATCTCCACTGCATCTTCATCTTTTAATAATGTGTCTTTAAGTGTTTACGTGACAATTTGTATGTAACCCCAACTACTCCAAACAGCAGAGGACTCAACAATCTCCAAGCCTTTTTCCTTCAAGTTACTTACAACTTCAGCAAGCATTTGAACCTAAAGAAATTCCTGTCTGCCTTGAGCTTAATTATGTACCAGGACAGAAAAACATTTGACCATAACTTCAACTTTGAAGCTCTGCTTCTTACTAATGGTGAGCAATATAATTATATCACAGTAATGTCCTGAGGCAAAGGAGAGCTTCTGTAAATGTAAACTGAGGGCAGCTCTGCAGGTGTGGGTGAGTATGGGGTACGCTGAAGCAAGGACGAGGAGTAGAAGAAGGGTTCTCACTAAATTATACAATGCAATTTCCCACAGATGGGATCCAATACTACTGCGAGACACGGATGACCATCTGAGGAATGTGCAGAGTGGGGAGATAAAGAGGGAGATGCTGCCATGATCCACAATCTCTTGTAGTACTTTTTTTGAAAGGTTTAACACTACTGAGATGCTTAGTGATACAGCAAATCTGTCAGTGAAAGATTCAATTGATATTTCTCATCCTGGTTTGAAACTAATTTAGTCCAAAAATAAAAAGTACACACATAATACCTTTGGTGAACCACAATCTACACTTTGTTCGGCAAAGCATTTCTCCTTTATAGGTTAAAGATCATTCTGTTATGGATGCTTTTGATTCTGCTGCTATAGCAACCAGCACAAGGATTTTTTTTTTTTCTTGTGCAGTTTTTAGGTAATATTTGGTTGACACAACAGAATGTTTTATTTCTTAATTAAAATTTTGTTTCAATTAAAAATTAAAATAGCAATTTCAAAATGTTAACAGTTTTAGAAAGGATCAAAGACAATACTTACGCACAGTCACTAGTAAATTCCAAACACTTTTTTTTACATACAACATGGGCTGAGCCACATTCCTTCAGTTTAATGACATCTACCTTTCTCCTATAGCTTTAAAAAACAAGTTTTATACAAACGATCCTGATAAATTCCTTTCCATAGATAAATTTTATTTTTTCTTTCTTTCTATTTATACCTATGCATTCCCAAAGCAGCAGTTGCAAAAGTGCCACTAAAATCCTCTATATAAATTTCTATAAATTTCTATTTACCTGGCATTTGGGGGAGTTGATTCAAGATACTCCAAATACTGAAAAATATTGCAATACATTTGTTCTTTATTTAGAGCACCTGATTTATTCTAAATCCTCATCCACCTTTTTTTGTACATTTTTCCTTCCTCTAAAAACATCCTGAACTCATGACACATTAATAGGTAATCCATTTTTTTTCCAGCCTGTTTTGCGTGCCTAGAGAGGTAAGATTAGCAGCACTTCAAGCAGCAAAGATAGTGAAGATGCTACTATATGTGCAAAGTTTCCCATACTCACTCTAGAGGGATTAAATACTTAGCAATGTCAGCAGAAGCACCGTTCCTTAAGCAAGGTCACTGGAAGATTAAATTTGTTCCAAATCAATGAACACTGCAAGAATTGATATGCATTATGTATACAATTTACTGGCATCAGAGCCAGTCAAGCACTTTTCATGCACAGTTAAAAGAAAGTAACTGCCTGAGAGCTCTTACAGCTTCTTAAACAATGCCAGAGAATACAGCTTAGCCTCAGATATTTTTCTCCTTGACAGACTGTGAATCAGAAAAGACATTTTTCAATTTACTACTAAAACTGAAGATCACTGGGGGGAGGGTGTCAAACGCAAAATACATGCCCTGCCTTAAGACAAAACAACTTGTTGAAGTTGTTAAAGCATTGATTAAACCCCACATGCCAGATGCTCTGTGGATGGTAAATGATGGAGCTCAGTCAAAACAAGGGAGTTATATTTGTGTCCCAGTTGGACTTCCCAACTCAATCACAGAAAATAGGGTAGAGCCCCTGATGTAAAGGATACGTTTGTCCTAAATCTGTGCATTTTGCACTGTCTTGTTTCCTGAAATGAGTCTTGAAATTTCGTTGAAGACTAACCATCAAGACTATGACACAAAACCAACCATGTGCTTTTCAACTGCTGAAATGATCCTGAAATGAATGAAAGGACTCTGCATACCCGCTCTGTGTGGGGTGCCTGGCTCCTGCAACTCCTGAGAAGGAGCCACATGAGGCAGAGGAGAAGAGGGCTCTGAGTTGCCTGAGCACAGGGCGGGGCGGAAAAGGACTGTCCCTTGAAACTCTCTGAGTCCCAGAATGGCTATTTTGATTCTTATAGAATCATAGAATGTTGTGAGTTGGAAGGGACCCACAAGGATCATCGAGTCCAACTCTTAGCCTAGCATAGGACAATCCCAAGATTCAGACCATGTGTCTGAGGGCATTGTCCAAATGCTTCTTGAATATTGTCAGGCTTGGTGCCATCACTACCTCCCTGGGGAGCCTGTTCCAGTGCCCCACCACCCTCTGGGTGAAGAACCTTTTCCTAAAGTCTGACCTAAACTTGCCCTGGCACATCTTCCTGACATTTCCTCTGGTTCTATCATTGGTCACCAGAGAGAAGAGATCAGCGCCTGCCCCTCCTCTTCCCCTTGTGAGGAAGTTATAGACCACAATGAGGTCTTCTCTCAGTCTCCTCTTCTCCAGTCCGAACAAACCAAGCAACTTCAGCCTCTCCTCATGCAGCTTCCCCTTTAAACCCTTGACCAATTTTGTGGCTCTAGTACTTCCTTGTACTCAAGTGCAGTGACAAATTTGGAGGCAACAAAACACCCGCTTGCATGACTTTCCTTGGTTTAGACAAAAGTAAGGGTTTTGATGCTTATAGAGAACATCAACTGGTAATCTTGGTAAGTAATGTATAGAACTAAAATAACTGTGCATTGCAATTAAAATGCCACAAAAGATTTAGTGAGTCGTTGTACAAATCCTACCAAGCTCTGAGAAGAGGTGAGCAACAGGGAATCTAGACTTATGTCTTTAAAGACATATAAAACCAACATTAAGTACTACATTCCCAGTTGTAACAAAATCTCAAACTGGCGAATGTTATACTCAGACCTTTTTTTGACATACAGAGGTCTGAATATTTAATACAGTACTGTTAATACTGCATAACTCAAATATATTTTAAAATATGCTCATGGTTACATAGACAGAGAGATTGAAAAAGAGATGTTGTAAAAGTAATTTGGGTTCCATAAACTACTCTTTCATTGCAATAGCAGAATAGAAACAAGAAGACCGATCTCTGCAGTCAAGTGCTTTAAAATGAGGGCTACTGCTCTTGGAAATTCTCTTTATTGTGACTGTTATTAAAGTTTTAAGGAGATAAGCAGAGATATAATGATTTTTATATACATAGATCAAAGATAAAGTAAGTCCTTTTACTCTGAGGCATATAATGGGAAAACCATACTTTCCTTTTGGCTACCATTTCTACCTTCCATTTCTCTTTTCCTCATTCCCCTTTCCTCTTCTTTAATGCCTCTGCATTTCCCTTCTTTACATCCTTGGCTTTTCATTTCCTGCAGGAGCTTTCACTTTCTGTCCATCATCTCTGCAATCTACTCTATCTCATCTGCTAATGAAGCGGTTAATGAAATTTTCATCATTTGGCTTAAGACAACATGCTAACTATTTCTGTTCACACTTCTTACATCCATAGTGGCAGATTATTTTCAGGATAAAAACACTGGATCTTTTTTTATAACCCCTTCACTCAAGAGAGTTAGATCAATTTAAAAATAAATATCAAATGTTGCAGAGAGTGTAGAGTACACATTTACAGCAAAGATGCAACGTGAAGGCAAAGTGTTTGAAATAGCATGTCTCGAACAAGCACCCTGGTCAGTAAACACTGACTACGGTTTGGGATTCCAACATTCAAAAGAAAAAAATTGCTTTAGACAAGTAATTAATGGAAGAATAGGTGAATATCTTAGACTTTGTTAATGGATGAAACCAAAATATTTAGGTACATTCTATATATACTGCACAGCTCAGTGAAAATTCTACTTATATGTAGGTTTGATGTTCATATTTAACAAACATATATACAACAAATTCCTAATTCTTATGCAAAATCAGAGTCACAAATCCAGCAATGCAGCTTTCTCCTGACTTACTGTGCTGAAAAGAACAATGGGGACAGGCTTTATTGACAGGTGCTGCAATTATAGTTTCATAATATAGAACATTTGTTCATCAAGTAATGTGTTTCCCTCCAGACATCTTCATTAAAAAAGAAGCAGGAGTTCAAGTGATTAGTAATGCAGAATGAAAACTCTCTAAATACTTTTGTTCCCTTCAGGTATGAAATTATGATCTTTTCAATTTCTCACTATTAAAAAAAAACCAAAAATGATTGTTCAATTTTTCTTTGCTTCTTAAAATCATTTTACTTAGGATACATTCTTCATATGACAAAAGCATATTATAAGGATCTGGATAAATATAGTCTTACAGAAAATACCAGTCATTTTTGTATGAAGATATACCAGTTTGGTTTGGTCTTAGGCTGATTCAGAAACCTTATTGTTATTGAACCTGCTCTTTCTTTCTGACTCTAGTTTCTGGTATGAGTATAGTATGAAGCTAGTGAAAATCCAGATTAACACCAATGAAAACCAGTTACACCACCATCTGTCCTCAATTTATTACTCTACACAAATTTGATTAGGCAAATGACCCACATTTTCAAGCACTGCACAGTGTGCGTTATTTATTCTCCAATAGCTTAGGCTTAGTAGATATTCCTGGTCTATATTCACAGAAAGTGTTGACTGAGGCATGTTCTTCTTATATTGATAGAATACAAATCAGTCAAGCAGAACACAGCTGCAGCCATGCTCAGAGGTTTTCTACCAGTGATACAGGGGGGTTTACAGTACTTGGAATAATAAGCCCAGAATCAAATAAATTAAGACTAGGTTGCATCAAGCTACAGGCAAAAGAGTTTGGTCAGCAATTGTGGCACTATTTCTCTAGCTGTAGGTGAATTGCAGTAGATGCAGGGAAAAACAGAGTAGGAAAAAGAAAGAATAGGGACATGGATTCATGCTGCAAATAATTTTAGCAAGAGATAAAAAGGGGATGAGAATCTATCTGGAGGTCATCAAAGAGCATCCTTCCTGTGGCCACAAACATTTAACAGATACCATGGAAATAATGAAGAGAAGCTAGGACAAGAGGGCAAACTCAGCATGTGTTAAGACATCACAGGCAATGTTAATAGTTAGTGCCTTTGAAGACAAAACCAAGAAGCTTGCCATTGATAATGAAAAAAGGAGAAACAGTTTGAAGGAAACAAATAGAAGATATAAGGTCAGAGAAGCAAATTAATAGACAGAAGGGCAAAATTATTGAAGTCAAAGCCAGAAAAAGACTTTTCAGTAGACTGGATTTTTATCCACCAAGACTTTAGAAGAAAAGTGAATTTGTATGGACAAAGAGCTACAAAAACATTTTTCTTGTTATGACAGGAAAAACAACAGAGGTTTTAAAAGTGGCCATACAAAGGCCTGTGAAGTGGCAACAGCCAAAATGGACACCTTTTTTATAGACCTGAATAGCTGGTGAGAGATGGCAATATACCTTTACAATAAGAAGAAAAGGCCCAGGGAAACAAGGGATCATAATCTGCCTCAGTGGAGGATTCAGGCCATACTGTTATCTAAGCACTAAGGATATATTCCGTATAGTACAAAAAAATTTTAGCACACTAATGTAATCAGTCAATATTCTCTGTGAATTTCTCCCTTCTTATATTCACAGACAGCTAATGATATTTTGTTTTAAAAGTACTTTAAACCCTATTATATTTAAAAAAAAAAAAATTGTTCTCAATGTCAAGTTGTCATGGTGTAGCATTTCAAAAGAGAATGACCAACTTGCAATATAGTCAATTTAATTGAAACCAAGACTTCTTACACTAAATGTAAGATACTAAACTTATTTCTATATTACTCTTTCAATTCTCAAGTGGCTTTATAGAAACTATTTCTGCATGAAAAATCTATGCAAATGTTAACACAGACAGACAAAAAAGGGATACAGATTTTCCTCAAAACACTCCCAGACACACAACTCAAACCTGAGAGAATCCAGGTGTCTGGGCTTTGTATTTTTTGCATCTCTGTTATTTCTCCAACAAAAAAAATATCTTTGAACTTGCTAGTTAACTTCACCCAAACTTTGCATTTGGTAGAGAGATCTGAAAGCTATGGGTGGAAGTCAGGTGAAGGACCGTACAGCATCCTCACTGAGTGGCTGAAGGAGCTCAGCCCTACCCAACTCTGCTTAGGCTTGTCAGCAGCAGAAGCATAGTGCAAGCTGGACAGTTGTCAGAGGTTTTCTCCCTGGATAAGCAGCACATCCACCAGAACAGTCGTCACACAAAGTCCTTCCTGCCCAGCCAGCAGCCCAAGCAAAACGGGATATAAATCTGGCAAGAGCTCAAAACATTGCCCAGGTAGGTATCATGCCTAGGGGGCATGTGAGGGAACTAGCAACCAGTTGCATGTGGAGAGCTAAGAGGGGATGTGCTGGGGGGTGGGGGTATGGAAACATAGTTCTACAGGAATATGTGCAAGAACTGCAGTTACTGGATTAGTCTGGAGGAATATGCAGCAACACGATACAGAAAGTCACAGTCAAATTAAAGACTAACCTAATTTTTATGATATTAGTTTTCTTTCATAATTTATCTCAAAAGCAATGTGTGATTGCTCAAGCTGCATGCAAATTTTTGTAACCTGTATTTATACATTCTTGAAGTTTAAATTATACTAAAGGCAAAGTTAAAGCGTTTGTTCTGAGGATATATAATTGACAAAAAGTTATTGCTAACCCTGTACTAGACAATTTCACCAGACCTCACAGGAGTTCTGTTGTTCTGTCATGCTTTCAACAGATTTAAATCAAAGCTTAATACTCTTTGAAGAGATGAAATATTATCTTGAATAAACATGCCAATACTTCAGAATTCTGCCTAAAGGGACTAATGTGAAGCACTAAGTATTTGAGCAGGGCTACAGAGCACCCCTAGAGATTTACACTATGTGCCAATGTATATAACAATACTCAAAGAAAATAAGTTAAGAACACTGCACTGGCAGCAAATGCAAGGGACTCCAAATTAAGTGTTTGATAATATTGACACTGGTATTGCAACCTTTTTTCCATAATGAAGCCATAATTTTCAGCTTAAGTCAATATGCAGATTAAGGTATACTTTTTAAATGATATGCATATGAAGGTATACTTTTTAAAGTGATAAGTATATATTATTTCTTAAAAACTTTAGTGTTAGATCCTGCACTACTGCAAGTCAGCATAATCACTGACTTCAATGGAGTTAAATACCAACTGACTTCACAGAAAGAGATGCATTTTTTCAGGTTAATGCAGTGTTCAATTAAGTAACAGTTAAAGTGTACTTAAATTAATTCAGTTCTTGTACGAACCCATGAGTCCTTCAGACTTAAACTTCTAGGTACAGCAAGTAGAGAAACACATGAGTGTAGCCCACTCACATCTAAAGACAATAAGAGCTGTGCAATCATTATTGCCTTGATTGCTACAATGTCTAATATCATACTGTTATTATATAAAGCACAAGTTTCCCACATACGTAAGGTAAAGACTTCTAGTTAATTTCAGTTGTGTTTGCTGCCAGTCTGCTCCACACAAATCAGTAACACAAAGACAATAATCTTTTATCCATGGGAAAAATCTGATCCCAATGTCTGAGGAAATCAAGACTCTGTACAATTTTTATGGAAGTTTGGAGGGAGGAAAACATACACGTATATATGCTCCAGCTTGGTCAAGATGGTCAAATCTTCAATGAACTCTGTAACTATTCTCCAGTCTCTGCAATAAAGGTATTGGTTTGGACCAAGTGACAGATGTTGATGGACTTTTTTTTTTTTTTTAAATATTCCCCCGTTCTAATAGAGATTTGTTAACTTTGCTTAAAAATGTAAGACTCAATAGCCACTGATTATTATTTAACATAAAGAACAATTTAAAATAAAAGCTACTTACCAATTTTGCAATGTCATTCACATCATCTGTCACTGGATTCCCGCAGGAACTCTGGGCTTTGACAAGAGGATTAAGTAGGAGTAGTTGAAGACAAAAGCAAGTGATAATCCAAGTCTATTTAGTTAAAAAAGAAAAAAAAAAAAAGAAAAAAAAAGGAAACAAGAAACCCCAAGTAAGCAATCTCAAAATGTGAAGTAACAAGAGACTGTAGTAATATTTTTCATAAATGAAGTCTAGATGTGACAATATTCTCCATCTTTCAAGAGGACATCCTCGTACCACTATAGTATAATCTTCATGGCAGGGATCCATAGAAATGCACTTAATTGATTTTTTCTGGAAGCAAGTACCTTTAGAGTAATAATGGAAAACCTGGTACTGAGCCATCAGGTTACTTGCACAGGATCCAACACAAAACTAACTAAATACTTGTCATTCACCTCATAAGGTATTTGATAAACTTGTGCCTTTAATATGATAATGAATGATAAGGAACAAAATGATACCAGATCACAGCAAGATAAAAGAAGAAAGTTCATAATCACAGACATTATATTTGGGTACTTAAAGTGCAAGCTAAAGTACAACTGGACTCTGCCCAATAACCGAGATCTCAAGCAGCAATACAGTACATTTTCTCTAACATGCCCTGGCCTCTCAGGAGCGGCAGCTTGGCTTTGGCACTACATTCCCCTCCTAAATCCTATTAGGAACAGCAATGTAATGTACTCAAACAGGCTTGTGAGACTCAGCCACAAAAGCAGCAGATAAGTAGCTGAGATGCACCTGGGTGTCTCCTTGGCTACACTGCCTGAACTTCCTCTGCCTTCTGTTGTTCCTTGTGCTTTGCTGGTTTCCCACAGAGCCCTGTGCCAAGTTTAAGCTGCAGATCTTTATTTCCAGAATGTTAACGCATTTAAGTTATGGATAATCAAAAGTTGCCTCAGGTTGTGAAGCTTCTTGTGCCAGCTGACTGAAGCTGTCAGTAAGAGTCGATGATGGTATACATTTACTGCAAGTATGGAATTTGCCTGTGCAGGCTCCTGAGCCTCCACAAGAGCAGGATTGAGACCAGAATTTGTTTTTGCACGAACTAAGACGCATCTCAGCTCTGTCTGTTCCCTGTGACAGGCAGAGAGTTCCTGTCTCCAGCTCTGCCTTCAAATGCCTTGCCTTCAATTTAAGACCAAAACAAATCAAACAACATAGGCAATGCTCTCTAGGAAAGCAGAGAGAGAAAATCCCTGCTTTAAAAGATTAAATATCCTTATAGTAACCTAGAGGGGCTAAGAAAGCATGATGATAAAGATCGCTCAGGAGCTATATAAACATAAGAGAGCAGTGCCAGGCACTTTCCCTAGAGCTGTTAAATGACAAGTAAATCTCTCTCTTGTATCTTATATCTCTTAAATCTTATATGTGTCTTACATCTCAAGTAAAACCGGTCATTTGCTTTCTTAGAATATGGCTTCCTGACTCATTAGGCAAAAGCAGTGTGGGCTGCTGCTGGAAAAGACAATCTAGCCTCCTCCCCCTGCCTCATGCCCCAGCACTGATGAGATGGTTTAGCCAGCTGTACCAGGCAGACAACTTCCTTTTCTCTTTTCCTGTGCTATTTTTTCAGGCAGACCACTTTTCTGATCCAGGCAACTGAGACTGCAGAAATGCTCGTTTACAGATGGGAGAAGCCAGGGTTACCTGTTTTGGTGGGGTCTGCACTTGGCTTTCCCTAAATTGTACCTTCAGACACCACAGGATTATGAAATGGGTACACTTACACAAAAAGAAACTGAAAATACTCTAAGCAAAGTACACATTCAATATGCAGCATGTCTTTTAAGAATGCCTCTTGCTTCAAGAAAGAATAAGGAAGAAATTTTTTTACAATGGTGGTGAAACACTGGAACAGGTTGCCCAGAATGGTGGTAGAAGCACCACTGGAAACATTCAAGGTCAGGTTGGATGGGGCTCTGAGCAACCTAATCTAGTTGAAGATGTCCCTGCTTACTGCAGGAGGGTTAGATTAGATGATCTTTAAAGGTCCCTTCTAACCCAAACCATTCTATGATTCTATGATTCAACATAACTAGTACTTAGAAATACTTTTATGTTAATATTTATACAAATAATTATTAGAATAATTACTTATGTGAAGAATTGAGAATAAGTACTGAACTTGAAGTTAGGTACTTGACAGTCTTTCTTACAAAACCACTGTACTTCACGCTTCAGAAAGCTTTGCAGTAATACACATATGAACAATTCAAGCTCTGGGGAGATGCAACAAATATGCTGCCAGTCTCTGAGAGGACCTTTGAGAGCTCCTTGCAGTGTATTAGAGCTTGAAGTTGCTTAAGAACTAGCTTTAAGTGGTCAGAGAAACATCTCCCTCTCCTCACACATGCTCCATAATCACAGAGGAAACCAAAGGGGACCTCAGGTTAACAGCCTACTTCCCTGCTGCAATTTTTGGAACAAAATTGTTATGAAAAAGGTAAGAAATTAATGACAACTAGCTCCAAAATGGACTAACTATACTGCTTTCAAAAAAAAAAAAAAAAAAAAAAAAAGTAGTTCTAAACACTAGCAGTTACACTCACTGGGGTTCAGGGACATTTCCCTGACATGCTCTTTGGAAATGGAGTCCATGCCAGAAACTGCCAATTTTGTTGGACTAGATGATCTCCAGAGGTCCCTTCCAACCCCTAACATTCTGTGATTCTGTGTTCCTCAGTACTGAGTAGCATGTAAAGGAAGATGGGACTTGTTCACTGACTTCTGTCACTGTCATAGGATGTTGCTTAACCTAACAGTCTAATAATCAAAAAAGGAACAAAACTTTTTAGCTAGAAATACTTTTTTGCACGATCAAAAAGTAGCAGCACACTCTGAATAAAACCAGAACTCTGATGCATCTTGTCAATTATCATACTGCTGGATCTAAAGACAACCAACCCATGCATGAACTTTGAAATCACTGCATATTTTATAATTATGCATAAGAATACACTTTTTTCACTTTGTAAATAATGGGATTTAAAAGCACGGTAATTTTTATAACTGCTATTAAAAACAAATGCTTTGTAAATCTTGAGATAATTTGAGGTTTTTCTTGCTTATTTGTCCCCCATGTCATCCAAAAGGAACTGAAAATCTGCAAAATACTGCTAGTTTCAACATGCCTATTATCCAAAATCTTTTAATTATTTGCACTTACAAAATATTTATATTACACATGCCTACAGGCATATTGTATGTAAGGACTGTCTAGATCAAAGGGCTAAGCTATTTTTGTGTTATTTACTAATGACCAAACCTGCTGTTTGAGCAAAACTTGAATAGACTGAATTAAATCAAGGACAGAACAAAAGAGAACCTTAAACAGCAGCTTTATAAACAGAGATTCCAGTTTTACACTTTACTAAGCATAAATGAAATTTACCCACACAGTACTCACAACAAATTTCCATATATAATTACTTCTTAGCTAAAATGGGATTTTCAAAGCTGGCCACAGGATTTAATCACACATCATCTACTAGCATTAAACTGAAGATATATGGCAGACAGGAGGCAGATCTGTAAACCAAAGGGCCTCTTCCTATTTTTGGCTCAAAAATTATTTAATTGTTTTTATATTCTGAAATCTCTTAAATACTGAATATTTAAGTTGCCTTTGTGAAAGGGAAAAAATAATTATTAGATTGGAAAGGAGATTCAAATTAAGGCTTTAAAGTACACTTTCGATCCTTCTGCAAATCATTTTTGGTACTGCCTATATGCCACAGTCTCTAATTTCAGTTAACAGCATTTTAGAGGCTGTTGAAGGCCATCCTTTCCACTGTAAATCAACAATATTTTAATTTATATTCTTCATTTATGATCCAGAGTGTTGACAAAGGCTGCTGAATGAGTGCTTTAGCATCTTTTTCACAGTATGCTATCAAAGATACTCAATTACTGGTTAATGTTCAGCTATTTCCTTAAGCGGAAAGCAGCAAGGGGAATACCACATTGCTAAATAAGCAAAACATTGGAAAGTTTGGACATTTCCAAAGATCTATAGTTTGTACTGATAACAATTCTAATCATAATTAGGGAGAAATCATTAAAAAAATGCAAATAATAAACCACAAAAAACCACTAAGCACAGGGAGAGGTAGCTACTACATAGATTAATAGGTTATTCATTATAAAATTTCTTGCATTCAAATCACATTAGCCACGGAATTTTTCAGCCTAGTTTCTTGAGCAAATCATCCAATTAACCACAACCAAGCCACGGCTGCAGTAGGGTTAGCTGACAATGTGCAACAATATTCACCCTTGGCCAGGCTTCCCAAATTTATTTTTCACTTCTGTTAATGCTGGGGTAGGAACATGTCTCAATATAGGCTCCTCAGGCAGTGTTTGCATGCTGCTTTGCAGAGGCACAGCTTGTGAACTTCTGCCATAGCCAACATTGGCTGGTCAGTCACAGGTAGCTAACATAATGTTCATACTTATGCCTTAAGAAGCCTTTTGTAAGAAGGTTCAGAGAAAATGAAAATAGCAAGAAAAGATCCTTCTCGGTTTTTGGTTTTTTTTTCAACCACAAAGCATCCAGAAGCATAAAAGCACAATAATTATTTCATATGTCTACTAATCTATTTAGTTATTTAGCTGTGATAATTAAAGTCATGGAAGAACAGTCTTTAACCAATTAAAAAATTTACTGTCAGCATGGGAAAATCTTAAAGTGAAAGAAGAGCATTTATACAGAATGTAATCCAATTCCCATTTTGATGGTATTCAGTGATACTTTCAAGCATGCAAATGACAACTCTAACTTTAGTATTTTAAAAGGCTGTGCCTAAATAATGCTTAAATGCTAAATATTGTTCAAGCTGAAAAAGAGTGAGTTAGGTGTGGAAAAAAAAAAGTCCTCTATTTGTGACCACCTAGTTCTGGAAACAGTGAATTATTTTGGCAAGCATATTTGGAACTGGAAAGGTCTCTACATGCTCCCAGGTACACAGGAGATAACTTCAATGTAGCTGAAGGAACCACTGTGTGATCCCTGAATAATGTGTAGTTGAAGTGTTAAAGGTCCAGCAACTCGTCACTGTCCTTCA